TTAATCATACTACTATTAGAGGTTTGAATTAGGAGGACCCTCTGAATTTTTAGTGTGTCTCTCACTCTGACTCTCGTTTGTTAATCTTTCATTCCACCCCCACATTGGACCCATTTCAAGTGAGTAACAAAAAAAGGTTTGATTTAGCATTACACAGTTCAGGAAAAATTTTGCGCTTATCAAGTTTACAACCTCGCTGTATGACAGTCCAGCCAGAGTCTGTGGGGATATACAGTAGCTGCTACCAGTGAGAAAATGTTATTGGGATTAATGGTTAAAAAAAACAGGAACCTTTCCAAAAAGGAGGGGGAAGGACGCTGACGAAAGGAACTCTCAGTTCTGGCAGGAGCTCAGCTCGAAATCCATGAAAAATATTTAAGAGCTCCCTATGGACAGAGAAGGGCTTAACCCTCCATAGCTCGGCCATAAGATCATGGCAATAGCTTGGACCATATGGCACTCACAGCCTCACAAAGTCAGTGCTGGCACCGCGTATGAAGGGCCAGGTGGGAGTGGGATGCTTTCTCAGCCGTCAGGGTAGACCGTTGCAGAAGGAAAAGATTGTTCCAGAGGAAAAAAAATACTTTCCAGTGAATGCTTGTCTAACCTAGGGCCCTCCCATTGTTGAGGAATCAGGTCATGAGAAATTGGATGGACTCCAGGGGCAAGAGGGTTTAACGATTACAGAATGGGGCTTACAGTGGGATCATTTCTGGACGGAAGCGGAGAAGGGTTACCACTGTTCCTTAAATGTGTGCTCAAGCACAAAATGAGAAGTGGACACACCCTAAAATGGAGTAGATGGAGGGGGAATACCCCTGATGTTCCTTAAAGTTGTGGAGTTATTTCTACTGCCCTGACAGGCAATGAGAATTCAAAGGATCACAAGAAATGTTGGGTGAGATGGTACTTCGGCCTTCCAGAATTCTCACAACAACATTTTTCCATTTTTAGCATCAAGCTGCTTCTTAAAATGATCTGGGTTCAACTACCTTTTATAGCTAAACCATTCCAGTCATTAATTACTGTCCATGTAAACAAATACTTCCTGGTGTCTGTCTTGAAATTACTCTTCATCTCCCTCAATCTGTGCCTTTTGTCCTTCTGTCTTGGTATATCTGAAAGTATTGTTCTGGAATTACTTTTTTCAATCAGATTCACCATTTTATATAGAAGTATTGGTATGGGTTTACTTTCTCAATTCTATTGAGCATTTCATATGGTAATTAAAGTCGTTAAAAGTCAGACAGCCTGCTGATTCCTGTGCTGTACACCCTTGCCCTATTTAGACCATTGATTGAAGCGGTCTTTGAGTGTACAGACTGTTGTCTCTAATTGCTGTACTGAATGAATGAGTTGCCAAACTGTTTTGAGAACTGAAATATTTTTTGTACAAGTAATAAAGTCGCAATGGGAGCTCGGGGTAGCTGAAGCTAATGCACCAAAGGACAAAAGGGAGCACAGACCGATTGCTAAAAACAGAGGTGAATCAGTGGGTTTAGAGTGTCCACTGGCTCCCAGTCCCTCAATGATGAGTTTAAGAATTTCTCTTGGTTTTGAAATCCCTTCATGGTCTCTCTCCACCCTATCTCGCCTGTATCCTTCACTCTTCCAACTCTGGTCTGATACTCACTCTTTACTCCCTTCAGCTACCACACCTCTGTCCTCCAGAATTCTCTTCTAAGCCATTCCAGGTTTCTACTCCATTTTCTGTCTTCAAAAGCCTCTGTAAATATATTTATCTGTTTCACTATTTCTAGAGCTGCAAACTTGGCTGCATTTTGCACTTTTTTTTCTCTTTTACCAATCAGAATCTCTTCTGGAATTCCATGGTAGTTTCATGGGAGAGGGGGGCATTAATCCTCAGAGCATTTATCATATCCTTCTTAGTGAGCGCAGCCCCTTCCCTTCTTTCTCTTAACAGCTGGAAGGGAGGTGGGATGTGGAACCAGTCTTGTTTTCCCCCTGTGCTCCATTGTCTTAAATTAATCCTTGAACTGCCTGGAAAGTGCTTACGACTGTGATCTTGAAGCCCACCTCATGAGCAAACATTCACCTTTCAGAGAAGACATGGAGCCAACTGTGCTAACGGTATTGGCTGAGCTTCCTGTGGCTTAAAACCAGGCTCCTCACTTGGTGCCAAGCTAGTGTGGAGCAGACTCCTTTATCTGTTCTTCAAGTCACCCTGAACCCCTGGGGCAACGCTGTGTTTTATTTCAAATGAATTAAAAGCATAATATTTGTTTAAGATTTTACAGACGGGATGACCCCCACCTCCGGGGCAGAAGCGAGTACTTGTGATTCTAGCGGTGGGAATGGTATTTAGCTCCCAGCTTTTGGAAGCAGATGAGAAAGACTCAGGCTACAAACTCAAATTGGAGCCAGTACAAGAATGAGTACAGCTGCAGCTGAATGTGCAACAAAACAGAGGCTCCTGGGCAGAACAGGAATGGAAATGGAGGGTATCGTTTCAGAGTAGCTCACTGGGCATTGGCAGAATCTCTGGTTTACCATCTTCCCATCTTAACATCAAGCTGTTTTTTAGATACTCATAACCTCTACCACTCTTCATGGTAACCCATTCCAGCTGTCAGTTACCCTCTTTGTAAAGAGTACCTGATGTCTGTCCTGATATTGCCTTTTACAGTCCTGAACCGCCCTCCTGTTCTGCTGTCTTGACAAATCTGAAATTATTTTCCTAGGTGTACATTCTCTATCCAACTTAGCATTTTAGATTGTTAGTTAAGGTCCCCTCGGACATATGTATTTTACAGGGTGAAGAGCAAGATCTTATAGTCCATCCCTCTGAGACTGTACCTTCCATGTAACATTTACATCAGAGACTGTGTCAATGATGGGGAATTACTCAATACAGTGCTTGTTAGTAACCGAAACAGGAAAATCCTTTAAGGATCAACAAATCACTGGTCCTTTTTTTCTTCGTGGATTTCTTCCTCAGTGGCAGGCGTTCACTCCCACATCTGAAATGTTACGATAAGGAACTTATCCCTGGAGAAGGAGAATGCTCCAAACGTGGCCTATTCTGCTGTGGTTCAGATCCATGAACTTCAACCGTTTTACAGCACATTGAGGTCAAATAGATTCAGAAGACTTTGGATATTATGTCACAGATGTGGATGGGGAAGCAATGACGGTGGATGCAATGGGGATAGCGTATATATAGTCACAAAGCCCACTCCACAGGTAGCAACTGCTTTTTACTCCCATACTATTAGCCTAATCCAGTTGTTCAAATAACAACAACTTGCGTTTATATAACGCCCCTCGCGTAGGGTAGCGTCTCGAAGCGCTATTATTGTTGGTGAATGTTATTAACAATCACCAGACGGATATTGAACAATCCCACGGCGCTATTTGGAAGTAGAGCAGGGAATTTCTCCAAGTAGTCTGGTCAATATTGCTGCTTCATCCAAAACAACATAAAGCTAGTCGCTCTTCTTGGATTTTGGGCACTCGCACAATACTAGTCCAGATTAGTCGACACATTTTAATACCGGTCAGTAAACGTGAAAAGCTTGAAATTCACAGTTTCAAAAGCTTTGAGACTTTTCGTTATAATGAGCCCTGGATCAAATGCAAGGACTGTTTTAATATTGCTTTAAACTTGCCCATTTTTAAGCTGCATTGAACAAAAGGTTAGGAAAGCCCAGCTCAAAGAAGCAGAGATACAACCACTTGCTCCTAATAATTCCTTAATTGACTGTGCTCCTGAAACTAATAGCGATTGTTTCAGATGTGCTTCAAGCAATGTACAATTTACAGTGAAATCTGTGTAAACGAGGTAATTGTGCCCAAATATCCGATTGAAATTCATGTACAGCTCCTCACACACCCTGTCAATCTTATTTTCTGCTTGTTAGGAGGAACTGCTTTCACAGGTTGGGCTGTCACAGGGCATCACAGATAATTTACTCCTTACTTCCATGTGGTATTTAGTGATAAGATTTTCACTTACACACACACACACATATCCACAAGCTTGTTCTCTTGTACTCACACATACACACACAAACACACACACCTGCATGAATGCACAGGCTCACACACAAACTTGTTGGTTTCCTGTTTAGAGTGGATTCTGATGGAAAGCCAACAAGGGACAATTTCAAGGAGCAAGCACGGCAATACTTTAGTTTTACTGTATGAAATATCAGTTATTTGTCTGTCAACCGTTCCATGTACAGTACACTAATATCAACTCTGCACTCCCATGCCCAATTTTTCTTTAAATAAAGAGATGCTGGAGGAGTCTTTGTGGAGATGGAGGGACTAATGTAATTGCAATACACAAGCAGCTACTGAGTTGTTGTCATAGACAGCACAACCGCCTCCAAAATATTCTGTCCTAAACGTAAACCGTTCTCGATCAAAGAGTGGCATTTGAAGCCCCAACTCCATTGCATTCAGTAGAGCATCCGAAATAGAGCAAACCACATCCATTCAACAACAACAACAAATGACACATGTATAGCGCCTTTCATGTCAGGAGGATGTTGCAAGCCGCCAAATTAATTGTTTGCAAACAATTCCTGAGGCAGAGTCCATAAATTCTTTTTAAAAAAGTGCTTAAAAAGATAATTACAGGCTATCATCAAGCAGGTGGGTGGAATTATACTAGGTAACCACATCTTCTGCAGGGGTACACCAAGTGACTCGCGAGATCTCAGCTCAATACGAGATCTCCTTGGAGCTGAGATTTTGTACTCAGTGTGACGTACATGGGGTTCTTTTCTGGATGTGACAGAATGAATGGCTGGTAATGTTGCTTCAACGTCTAGGATTGCAACAAAACAAGACATTATTCATGGTGGGGGGGGGGGAAATTCCTCTACAAATGTAGCTTGAGGTTGCATCCTGTGACTTACTTGGATGGGAGAAGGGGATATGATGAGAGGGTTGCAATGGTTTACAGCTTTGAAGTGAGACATTGGAAAATTGCTGGTGTGAAGGCTGACCTGGGGGGAGAGTCCATTGCTGACCTGGTTCATAGCGTTGTTGGGTCCTGTTGGATTCATGAAGCTGTCAGGATAGCTGGAAAAGCTGTGCCGGTTCGAGGAGAGACCATAGGAGCTGCCGTCTGCCGCTGCAGCCAATCCGCTTTGGTGCATTGAGGATGGTGGGAGAGGCTGGGGCCTGTGTACTGTGCTTCCCCCATCTGAGAGCCCCCAAAAAAGATTGAGTTCAGTCACACAAAACCACAAGAAATGTGAAGATGAACATTTTTCATACACTGATGCTTGATCGCTACTTAGCGAGTATTAAGTGGTCTACAACAAAAACGTGTATTTATATAGCACCCTTCATGTGGGGCAGCGTCCGAAAGTGCTTAAATTGCAATGTTTGCAAAAGTTAAATGTGATTTCTAAAGATCATCAAATTATGAGGGAGAATCGGTTCCATCCTCTGGCCTTTTTGTTTTGAATTTGTTGGCTTTCAAAAATCTGTCATTTTGCAAATATTCCGAATTAAGCACACATTGGATCAATTTGAGGGTAATTTGATATTCATCATATTGAATGTGCTGGAGGCAGATTTCTTCCCCCTCAACTGACACTGTTCTCAATGGCAATATCCACAAGGCCAATGTTGGACTTCCAGTTCTTGAATTGGCACTTTCAATTCCCGTTTAGCAGGATACAGATTTTGTCCTCGCCAAAAACTCGCAGTGTAGGAGGTATCTCACTGCCTGAAGAGAATTCGCCATTGATAATGGCGTGAAGTGGGAGGTCCATCCCCTTCAGTGTGATAAATCAATTCCCAGCTAAGAGTTTGGATTGGAGACTGTTGCTTTTGACTATGTCAGCACTGCCAGACAGGAATGTAAAAGGTTGAGCTGGTGGCGGCCCTACCTTGAGACATGCCAGTGGTGGAGTACGTTGATTCTGGCAGCTGGTAAGGAGGCAGTGTTGGCATTCCGGTGGGTGGGAAACCACCAGGTAACAGGTGATTAAATGCTGCCAGCTGATTAGCTCCCGCCTGCTTGCGCCACCTGGCTCGACGATTACTAAACCAAACCTGCGAACAAAGCAACAGAAACAGAAAGAGCAGGTCAGAAAGAGACAGGGGAAACAGATAGACAGACAGAGAGAGCGAGAGAGAAATCTCTGCTTGTCAAATGTCGAATGACCAAAGAGTGAAATTCTCCTTTTGGGGTAAATAAGTGGAGTCTATTTGGACCTAATTTTGCACGAAGGTGATATACCTGGCAAAGGAAGAGTGGAATCAAGTCTCGGTATGGTACTGGAGCCAGGTAGGTCCACAGTACTCTAGGCTAATACTGTTGATGATTAGCCAGCCTGGCTTATTGGCAGGACTTGGAGGAGTGGACCAGCCATTGGGGCTGGGATGCTTCCTATTCAGCTCCTGATAACCCTTTAAGCCAAATATCCAAAGGTGATCCTAGTTGGACAAAAAGTGGACAGCTTACCAGTGCACTGCAAAGAGAGATGGGTCAATGGAAGGTTTTTTGAGGGTGAGGATAATGACAGCTGTTTTTAACGGGGTGGGAATGGTGCTAGTAGTCAGAGAGAGATTCAAGATGTTTATTAATAGGGTGGCAAGGAGGTGGAGTTGGGAGGGAAGTAGAGGGGTAGAGATGAACTAAATGGAGGTGGTGGTGGGCTTCATTTGGGAAATGATGGAGGTGAAAGAAGAGGTGGGGGGTAGGGTCAAAAGTGTGGAATGAGGGATGGTTGAGGACCAGAGGGGGAAGTGGGGAATGGATGGCAGTGGAAAGGGCTAGAGGCAGTAGAGTGGATCCTCCGAATTTTGGACTCAAGGAAGCTTTTATTTGCTTAAGCTTCACCAGGGCACACTTTGGTTTACCAAGATATGTTTTTTGCCAACCTAAGTTCTCTGGAAATAGAACTCATATATATCCTGATGCCTACACACAAACACACGCCAGTCAGATTCACACATCAGAGGATTGAAATTCTACGCAGACTTAATTTGAAAGCCATTTTTTTCCTGTAAGGAATCAGTACAATTCTGCGCAATCAGTTTTAAGACAAACTGGGTTTACTGGCTGGAACTTCAGCCCTCAGCTTGTTAGATGGGTTGAGTCTTTGTCAGCTGACGGCAGAGTCAGCCACTTTTCAAGGAGTGCTATGCGAGACGAGTGGGAAATGGGAAAAGTTGACTCCAAATCAAAACTGACATTAACAGATGTGAGTGTGGGCAGGAGTGACTCGTGACGACTCCGGTTACACACAAACCTCTTTTGTTTCACATCGGCTGAGATCACACTCTGTGCCGCCCTAGCTTTGCAATCTTAAATTAATTTATTGACGAGATCTTTAAGAACATTCCAGGGAAAAAACTTCTTTATTTAAAAAAAAGTCTGATAGAATTCCTTCCTGTGGGACCTGCAGTGGGAAACGCTCACATTGTCGGGGGTTAACTGAATGGGTGATGTTGCTATTGAAACATTCTCTGACCGTCAGACCATCCTGAATAAGTATAGGCTGGCAGCATGGGTTCTAGATATAATAATAATAATCCTTGCATTTGATATAGCGCCTTATCACGTCTTTGAGACGACTGAAAACGCTTCACAGAATATACTGTATATAAGTGAATTAACTGTATTTTGTGGGCGAAACACGGAAGCCGATTGCGCACAGCAGTGTCCCACAAACACTCATGGATTGAGTGACCACATTTTTTTTTGAAGGGAATATCACCCCCAGAAAAGCAATCCACCAATTGACAAATAACTGGGTTCCTACTTACTGCTAGGTAAACAGAGGCGTGAGTAACGGAAGTTGCTTTAATGTTTCGCCCTGCCGGGAATCTAACTCAGGTCCTCTAACTTGCGATGCAAGCGTTCTAACCACTAAGCTACAGGACACCACTGGCATACTGAGTGGTGCAGATCCTTTTAAAAGCACTGGCCAAGAAAAAAGGAAAGAAGAGCATAACACAAGGCCATTCAATCCATCAAGCATCTCCCTCCCCAAACCAGAGAGGTCTCTGGTCTTGGGCACATCTCAAGCTGTATGGAAGAGTAGCCATTTGTGCGAAACAATAAGATGGGGCGGGGAGGAGAATAAGACAACAGGGGAGAAAAATAATTCTGAAAGATGGCAGAGTCAAAATAAAGGGCTGGGTGTACGCCGGGGTCCAACTGTGAGAAAGCAAACAGCAATCCATGGTGAGTTATTTACTCTAGGTCAACATCAGAGGCTCTCATCTGCCCCTACTGGGTAGATTTCACAGAGGCTCTCAGCAAGACAGGTGGCCTCTGACCTCTCTTGTCCACAAGCGCTCTTCCCTTTTATGTTGGCTTCAGCGTCTGCACCTCAGAAGGGAAACTACTTAGCACAGAAAAGCAGGAATCTGAATCCACTTCTCCACAAATAAACTTCTGGCTGATCTGGGAGGCTGAGACAAGCAGTGCGTCACCCTGAAGTATCAGTGAGATGAGCGGTCTTACAAGAGCCAGACTGCCCTGCTGTCTGAAAGCATGCTCTGTGTCAGCTTATTAAATTACATCGTCAAAGAAGAACACAGGAGAAGCAGAGTCATAAAAAAATCAGCATTAATCTTTGTCCTGTGGGTTGATGTGCTATTCCTCGTGTCTTGGTCTCTCCTTACCCCTCTCCCTTTTATGAGGTAAGAAGAGAATAGAACATAAAGGATATTTAGCTTCAGTAGTCTTGTGAGATTATTGATTTCGAAGGAGCAATAGTTTTGAAGAAGTTACAATTCAATACAAATCAGGCTTTGAGGGGTCACTTGACAAATGCACTGCTCAGTGCAAAATTACGCCATTGGATGGTTCCCAGCCTTATCTCCAGTGCGGAGCTCAGCTCCATAGAGCAAGGGGAGTTGAGTGAGAAGGGATGAAAGAAAAAAAGTAAGCTAAGGCTGGTTGAATCAAGAGTTGCAGAGAGAGAGAGCGAGAGTGAGAAAGTGAAGGATGGAGAGAGCAGGAGGCCAAAGCGAGTTGGACAGATAGGTGTTCGCATGGGAGTAGGTCTGGCATTAATTATAGCACTGAGGATAAGGATCAGCGCCTGCAATTTGTCCGACATGCAGTAGCTGATCCATGAGACAGAGAGAGAGAGCTACACACTCTCAGCTCGCTGTGCATTATGAAGACAGATAGCACTGAAGTGTTGAAATGCAATGGAGTGGAGTAACGACCGATACACTCTATAGCTAGCATCTCGAGCAACCGTGCAGTTAGCACTGCAAGCCAAACTGCAGCCAGCATAGACAACAGCCTCATTAGCTGCCGTACACACATTTGGGTGGTTCGCTGCATTTCCTACTCTCATTGATGGTTCCTCAAAGAAATCTCAGAGACTTCTGTGTAAAATAACCTTTAGTTTTACAGGGTCTGTGTAGTTGTGGCACTGAACTTGACTAACAGCACCAAAGAACTTAGGTAGATTAGATAATTACACCTGCAGGCACCACTCTTTTTTATTAGTGTTTCAAAATACCCAGGATTTGGCAAATCCCCAAATATAATGTTAATTTTTAAGTATTTTTTCTGCAAGTTTTTTTAAGAACTATAGAAACCAGCTTCAAAGTAAAGACCGAATTCAACAAATTGCCAAATTCTGCACAATCTGAAATGGTAAGAGAGTAGCATCAATCTAGACCCAGGTGGAATTTCTCTCATTTATTTTTGGGGTAAGTCAGGGATCTGGTACAGGTGGAAACCCATGGTCATGCTGAAAAGATAGACTTCCACAATATGAACGTGACTTACGCACCGAAAGTTCATTTTGTTGGGGCTGGAGGACGTACTCTTTCCCCAGAAGGACACAACTGTTCACCTAATTTCAGAGAATATTAAGGTAGGTAGGTAAGAGCCAAGACTTGGGGTGGGGGTGGTGGGGGGAGTGCTGAAGTTTAAGCAGCTAAAACTGCAAAGCTTGCCATTGTGAACTCTGACTATAACCACAAATTACATTTGTATAATGCCTTTTACGTCAGGAGCACATCTCAAGGCGCTGTACTGGTAAGCTTCCCGTTGCTTATCCGGCTATGACCACCCAACCAATTGGGGTTTTGACTTGCAAGGGTAACGCGAGCCAAGAGGGGAAAAATTGTAGCTCTCGGTGACTGATCTGCCCCTTCAAAAGTCCTGCTGTTGAGCCAGGCTGGTGGGTCTGTCATCAACAGTGCCTTGGATTGCTTCTCCCCTTAGTGTCATCTGTCCCTCCAAGAACAATCACTTCCCAGTTTCACTCTCCCTCCCCCCGTCCCCTCCCTCTGCTCCAGGCTCATGTTGCTGGGCAATTTGGGAACTTGTTGTTGAAAGGGAGGTCAGAGAGGGTTAACAGTGGCAGTGTGAATGCAAAGAGGAATGCTTCAGGAGAACTTGATGTTTCACTTCTGGATGCCTGTCCCGTGATCTCAAACATGCCTTATCACATGTTCACTGTTTAAATACAGTCATTCAGCCCAAATAGAATTAATGTATAATGTGACAGAAGCACGCAGTCACAATAGCTCCACATTTTCAGATATTTTACTCAGGATATCATGTGAGCAGTTAGGAAGCAGACAACACTGGATAGAGGCAGGGCATCTTTTTACATTATGATCGCTTCTAATTAATCGGCTCCATTATGTGAATTGCGAGACTGAAAAACCTTCATCCCCTCCCACATCACCCATGTCATGCAGTAAGTCACACAGACTGGGAAGGTTTCAGGTTCCTGGTGATCTCAGCATCAGGAATATCAATAATCTTTTCAAATAAATTGGTTAGTCACTTCATGGCTGTTTGTAGGACCATGCTGTGTTGAAATTGGCTGCTGTGTTTGCCTCCCAATACAGTCACTGCATTTGACAGTTATTACCTATAAAATGCTTTGAGATGTTCCAACTTTATAGGCGCTATAAAAATGCAAGTGTTATTATTACCACGTACTTTTCTGCCATAACTATTTACCAATTGCTGGGGTGACACTTGTTTTCTGCTTCTGGTCTGGGTCAGTGGGTGGGTGATTACAAAGATGGTGAAGATAAATAGAAGGGTTACATTGGAGACTTTCTTTTCCTTTATGAGATGTTGATTGATTACCTCGTGGAACCTTTAAATAGACCCAGAGGGATTGAAAATCTGCACTGCAATGTTGGGAATGCTTCGATGGGATGGTGGGCTTTAAGTGGTGGGAGGAGGCAAGTGGTGCCAGGATCTGAGAATGAGGATGGTCCAGAAGTATTTGTCCAGAACAGCTGTTGCATTTATTACACATAAATAATGTTCTCTTTTGGATGTCTTGACATTTCCCTGCAACATCCTGACCTTGAGTGAGCTTCTCTGCTCATGGACCTCTTCAGATGTGCTCCACCCTAATGGAGCCCAATGAAACAAGTGATCATACTTTTCACCATAGAAGGGTCCATTTGGCTCACATTTTCCCTGCCACTGCCAATGCCATATGCCAGGGAAAATATGCCACTTTTTCCCTGCCACTGGGAAAAAGTGCCACCTATTTTTCCGTCAGGTTTTTATTTCCCACCTTGTAACTCTTTCTCAGCACTACAACCAAAATGATGCCCTGAGGGCTAACTGCATGCAGCTCATGAAAAAGATTATGATTTGTTTTGTGGTTCGGATTCTAACCCTTCAAAAGATACATCCACAGTTAGCTCACACCTCCTTGCTCATGTTTTTACACATCTCGTGCTGTCCTGAACTCCTGATTGCAAAAGCCTGAATTGGCTCAAACCTTTCTGTCTCATTAGTGACAGAATTATGGGGGTGTGGGCCCTAGAATAGGGCTGGAGGAGGTTACTTCAGTAGGTTGGTACGCCACATTGGATGGATTTAGAAGCTAGAATGAACATTTTCAAGTCGATTCTCCTCATCCTCCAAGCTGTGACTCACCTGCACCCGTGCTTCTGTCAGTTTGGTCCTCTGAGCCAGTTCCTCTCTGGTGTAGATGTCCGGATAGTGAGTCCTCTCAAACGCCTTCTCAAGCTCCTCCAATTGCTCTGCAGTGAAGGTGGTGCGACTGCGCCTTTGCTTCCTCTTAAGCGGAAGGTCGGGCTCCGACTCCACATCTGAGCCACCATCATCCAAACGGTTGCCTGTTGGAGCAGAGAGATATTTAGAACCACTTGCTGCCTCAACAACAACTTGTGCTTTCATGTGTTTAATTTCTAGCAGGCGAACGTTGGGCAAGTTTCCTTACTCCACACGTCTCTGTTCACTTAGCAGTAAGTCGGAACCCGGTTGTTAGTCGATTGGTGGATCGCTATTCCAGGTGCAATAATTCCTTCAAAAAATATATAATAAAAAAATAATTTGGTCACTCAATTTACAGCTGTCTGTGGGGGACACTGCTGTGTGCAATTGGCTGCCATGTTTTGCCCACAAAATATACAGTCAATTCACTTTATAGTATATTCTCTGAGATGCTTTGAGACTTCTTGAAGACGTGATAAGGCGCTGTGTCAAATGCAAGGATTATTATTTTTATTATTATTTTAATTGATTTGAATCAGAAAACTTCCTTACAGCTGAGAGAGCTGCTTATTCACCACTGTGATTGAGTCTGACCATCCTGGAATTCAAACTGATTTTCCTGCTCTGATAATCAGTCGCCTTTGCAACCAGACAGGGGCAGGGTGGGGATGTCTCAGGGTCTTAAGTTTGTTTTCCTGATAATTAAAATTAATTAGAATCCTTAATTGCCTTTATTAATGCCTCCGTGGAATGGGCACAGCTGCAAAAAGGATTAACTTTGATTTATAAAAAATGGTTCATGCTTTAGAAGTTTGCTGAACTGGCTATGGAGCTCAGTGTGGTAGAATTGGGGCTCCAGTGGTGGGTCAGTGAGGTGGGTCTTGTAACCCCTTACAAATCTCTGAAATTTCAGTGGCTTAAAGTTTGTATTTTGTACTGAAACACATGTATAGTGAGGATCCTCTCATGTGTACGCGTGAAACAAACCTGGATAAGAACTTTTTAAAGTGATTGATGCAGAAGGGAAGTGTATCCCAGGAAATTAGTTAGGCTGTTCTTGAGATTATTTAAGACTGATAGGTATTTCAGGGGTTCAGTGTAGTTTACTGGCAGATGGGTGTGGTCCTGTGAGAGTTAAGGGTATTTAAATCTGTCACTGAATGCTTTCAGACAGACAGCTGTGCGGAGTTTGTGGGAATTCTTGCACACCAGTTCATAGCTAAGCAGCGGCATGACATAAACTTCCTCAAACACCGCAAGTAATGTATACACACTTCTCAATGTAACATTGATAGAACACACTCTCACATCCCTCAGATTTATCACACCTCATTGATTATAATACACTCATTGTACAGCTCTGATATAACAGAGTCCCTCATGTAACACCCTAAATATCCTTTGTGTTATACTGTACTGATAACATACCCCTCAATGTATCCTTGATATAACCACCAATTGCTGTAACAAATAAAATGTACTCTCATTAACAAAGCCCTTCACTGTAATACTCATCAGTGGTTTTTCATGCAAGAAAAATGAGTTGCACTTATACAGCGCTTTAGATAATTTTGATAAGAGCACTGAGAAGGGAGTATATATGCAATATATAGTTTTATAACGTCTTGAAGGCAGGGACAGAGGAATTGAGGCAAAGAGATGTGCAAAATAAGTTCCAGACAACAAGAGCATTGGTAATAATAATAATCCTTGCATTTGATATAGCGCCTGATCACGTCTTCAAGAAGTCTCAAAGTGCTTCACAGAATAGACTGTAAAGTGAATTGACTGTATATTTTGTGGTACCTAAAGGATCAGACAAAGGGTATAGGGATTGAGAAACAAGCAGGAAGCCACAACTGCAAAAGCAGACTTGATCAGCAGGAGAATAAGGCCTGCCACAGCTTTCCTTCTCAGGCGTTGAATAGAACCAGTTATATGTTGCATTTCCTTCACTGTGCTCCACTATCACATTCTTTGGAGAGCTGCAATGAATGATCATTGTACTATAATAAACAGTGAACTATACATATGAGTTTCTTTACTCCACACGCCTAATAATAATCCCTCCAAGACTAAAACAATAATAAATTGGTCATTTTCAATCCACGACTGTTTGTGGGACACTGCTGTGCGCAATTGGCTGCCGCGTTTCACCCACAAATATACGGTCAATTCACTTTACAGTCTATTCTGTGAAGCGCTTTGAAACGTCGAGAAGACGTGAAAAGCGCTATATCAAATGCAAGGATTATTATTATTATTACACTCTTTTCCAGAGGACAGAAGAGGAAACTCAATGAGAAATCTGAACAAAGGATGAGGAAGGGGTTAGATAGAAGAGGAAGCATGGAGGTTAGACATGAAATATAGAAGGGAAAAACTCTTCAAGAGCTTAAAATGTATCCGTCGTTCAAATTGATTTTCATAGTGGTAGGGGACTTATAAACAAAGTTTGCAGGTGTGATGTGGCCACTTGTGTGGAGCAACGAGATGGGAAAAATTCACCTTTTGTGATTCAATCGTGCGTGGCTAAATGTGTAAATTAGTGACTTGGAGTCAAGCAGTCAAACCACATTCTCCAATAATAAACCCATACAAGCCAAATAGTCATTAGGGAAGTCTTTGCACGAGGAGTTTTGGCGTGGTTAGGATTACGGAAAAAACATCTCTCGGAGAAGAAGAGGAGGTGGAGGAGAGGCAATGATCGGATATGGAGCGAATCACTGACGGGCCATGAAGTTTAATTAAACAAGGTGTTAAGGGATTAGGTGGAATCTGTCATTAAAACCCACTCAGGGGCTCCTCAGGAGCTGCAGAAATGCTGTGTTACTTTGGAGAGCCAATCCTTGAGAATTACTTGCCAGCTTGTTGGGGGAGAGGCATGAGCACGCATTAATGAAATAAAACTTCAGACAGACCTCTTGTTCCGCCAATCATTTTGTTGGTTTTGTTTGGAGGTGGAAGTGCCTCCGAGCTGTTCTGCCGTTAACTCGGCGTGACACTGCTCCAGGAGCCAGCAATGGGCTACATATCATTTTTCATAGTCAATACCACCCTCACCCTCTCCCCATCTCATCCTGAAATAATCTACAATTAGAAGGAATTGTTTCTCCTGATTCTGCAATAATAATAATTAAATTTGATTTAATGCCTATAAAGTAAAAATGTCTCAAAGCTATCTATTGCTATCTAGTGTAGTGACTTTGACTGTATTTGCAGGCAAACACAGCAGCCATTTTGTACAGGGTTCCACAAACAGCAATGGAATGAATGACCAATTTATCTGAAGGATTGTTGGCCAAGGTACTGGGCTGAACATGGTGTGAAATATCCAGTCAGTTTTCACTTAGCTGGTGTTTCTCTCTTGTATTGTCTTCTGTGTATTTATGCTCCCAGGCCCCCTCCCCCCCTCCCAGACTCACAGCTGAGCCGAGCCATGCAGTGGTCCAGATGGGGGTATCATGTAACCCTAGAACGAGCAGTTACACTGATTTCCCACCCAGATATTTTTTCAGTGCTTGGCACTGAGCAGCAGAAAGATCCAAAGGTTTTTATAAGAGGCATACAATCAGTCATCATCGTACTTAGTCAGAAACATTTGGGTAAGGATTTGGCAGTGGAGTCTGGTGCCTCCAGTGCCTTTCACTTCTAGGATGTTGGTTTGAATCAGTCCTGAGACATGTGTTCGGCTGTAAGCTAGAAAGTTAAATGAGATTGGACAGTCTAAACCCAGTTGCTAGTGGGAGGAATTTGAAACTGGCCTTATCTGTCAGTCTCTTGATCATTCTTTAACAACTCAGGCAGTAAGACCTAGATAATGCCAGGACCTAGAAATGTAAATGTTACACTGGTGCAGTAGGGGGCGCTCTTCTGAGGGAGGGATTGAGCCATGTTATTAGGTATATTGGTGTGCTTTTCACCTAACCCATGCTATAGCTAACCTCAAATTGCTGGGTAGAAGAGTGTTGAGGAAGTCTAACTCTGCACATGAAAAGTGAGCGGGATGTAACTTTTATGTTCATTTCCTGAGCCAAGACTAAAGAAGAAAATCATTAGATAAGAGGGAGGTGGAGGTGTGAGCTGGACGTGGAGGGTGGGGTGGTAAAGAAAAGGAGGAAGAAGGCACTTTAATTGAAAGAATCATAGACAGAAGAAAGGATGAAGTGGAGTGAGTCGCTGACTGTGCAGCCTGTTACTCCGAGGTCTGGAGGAAAGCAGATGCAGCACCCCCTCAGCTCCTGCCCCATCATTTCTGTCCCATTTTTCTTGCTCCTGTCTGACCTTGCAATGGGCCTGGAGGTAATGGAGGTTTTTCATCCACTGCTCGCCACATCTGTGAAGTCTATAATAGCGTCTCGCTCTCCATTCATTGCTGTGTGACAGGGCCGAGAGATAGCGGGAGAGTAGAGCAGCCATTGGGGCCCTCTCCTCCCGCTGCACCTCCCTCCATTGTTGCAACCCTTACTCCCGCCCTTCTCCCACTTTATCGCCTTGTCAAAATATTGACCGTTCAGAATCTCAAATATCAAAGCGACTTAAAAATTGAGGCCTACTTTTGCTCAAAACTTACCCCCCGATTCCCCCCCCCACCTCACCGCCCGCCTGCCCGCCCCCGCTGAGAATTGCAATCTAGCTTTCTAACATTTACGAAAAACTGCTTTCTTTAATATTTTTCAGACCGTCTCCTTTCTTAAAATTAAAAACACTTTAGCCTTTTATTTTTTTTCTTGAGGATAAGTCCTTTTGTAACATGGAGGCCTATAATCTTTGCCTACAATTGAACAGTCTGCCGTGCCTTTTTACTCCCCGCCCACCCTTAAAATAAAAAACTTAGCACCATTTGGCGTTTAATAGCTCCTTGTCATTTGTGTTCTGTGCACTCCTTTTCTTGTCTCACCTAGGACAAAACAGCCCCATAGACCTTTCAGCCATCAGAGGCCTTCACCTTAGGGGGCCATTAGTGCCTGAATGCAGAACTGACAACCCCGTGCAGGCCTGTGTGATATCAATAAACGCTGACATATTGACTCTCTGTGGTGCTCTTGTGAAGGAAGGTGCTGTTTGAATATTAAAACATTAAGCAGCAGGGGGTGGGATCATGGGGTCTCAGACTGTTTCA